CTACAGTCATTGACCAATACTGTCAGTACCCAACCATCCTACAGTCATTGACCAATACTGTCAGTACTCCAACCATCCTACAGTCATTGACCAATACTGTCAGTATCCAACCATCCTACAGTCATTCACCAATACTGTCAGTACCCAACCATCCTACAGTCATTCACCAATACTGTCAGTACCCAACCATCCTACAGTCATTCACCAATACTGTCAGTACCCAACCATCCTACAGTCATTCACCAATACTGTCAGTACCCAACCATCCTACAGTCATTCACCAATACTGTCAGTACCCAACCATCCTACAGTCGTTGACCAATACTGTCAGTACCCAAGCATCCTACAGTCATTGACCAATACTGTCAGTACCCAAGCATCCTACAGTCATTGACCAATACTGTCAGTACTCCTGCGAACAACCGTGAAATAAACATAAAAACAAACTTTTAGAAGCCCAGAAAAGCATATACATTAGAATATGTTCATGTAACAATGCGGCCTCTCCAACATCTGCCATGTCAAACACCAGCAGACTAAATGAGAGTGTCAAGCCTAGCAGTATGTTCCATGCTGGTTACAGTAGCCTGAGAGGCAGATCAAACTTACCTCTTTTTTGTGCAAATAACACTCCAACAATCCACAGCTCACCCCTACCTCACCCAGGTCACCCTCTACCTCTCTCCAGTCAACACTCCAAGTCTATTCCCTACCTTTCCCCAATCAACACCCCAGATCTATCCCCTACTTCTCCTGTCATCACCCCAGGTCTCCCCTACCTCTCCCGGCCCAGTCAACACCCCAGGTCTATCCCCTACCTCTCCCCAGTCAACTCCCCAGGTCAATCCCCTACCTTTCCCCAGTCAACACCCCCGGTCACCCCTACCTCTCCCAGTCAACACCCCAGGTCTCCCCTACTCTCTCCCAGTCAACACCCCAGGTCTATCCCTACTTCTCCTGTCATCACCCCAGGTCTATCCCCCACCTACCTCTCCCCAGTCAACTCCCCAGGTCAATCCCCTACCTTTCCCCAGTCAACACCCCAGGTCACTACCCCTACCTCTCCCCAGTCAACACCCCAGGTCTCCCTACCTCTCCCCAGTCAACACCCCAGGTCTATCCCCCTACTTCTCCCTGTCATCACCCCAGGTCTATCCCCTACCTCTTTCCCCAGTCAACACCCCAGGTCTATCCCCTACCTTTCCCCAGTCAACACCCCAGGTCTATCCCCCTACCTCTCCCCAGTCAACACCCCCAGGTCTCCCCTACCTCTCCCCAGTCAACACCCCAGGTGACCCCTACCTCTCTCCCCAGTCAACACCCCAGGTGACCCTACCTTTCCCAGTCAACACCCCAGGTCTGCCCTACCTCTCCCCAGTCAACACCCCAGGTGACCCCTACCTCTCCCTAGTCAACACCCCAGGTCTCCCCTACCTCTCCCCAGTCAACACCCCAGGTCTATCCACTACCTGTCCCCGGGTCAACACCCAAGGTCTCTCCCTCCCAGTCAACACGCCAGGTCTCCCTACCTCTCCCCAGTCAACACCCCAGGTCTATCCCCTACCTTTCCCCCCTTTCCCCAGTCAACACCCCAGGTCTACTCCTACCTCTCCCCGGGTCAACACCCCCAGGTCACCCCTACCTCTCCCCAGTCAACACCCCAGGTCTCAACACCCCAGGTCTACCTCTCCCCAGTCAACACCCCAGGTCTCCACTACCTCTCCCCAGTCAACACCCCAGGTCTATCCCCTACCTACCTCCCCGGGTCAACACCCCAGGTCTATCCCCTCCCTCTCCCCAGTCAACACCCCAGGACTATCCCTACCTCTCCCCAGTCAACACCCCAGGTCTCCCCTACCCTCCCCCAGTCAACATCCAAGGTGACCCCTACCTCTCCCCAGTCAACACCCCAGGTGACCCCTACCTTTCCCCAGTCAACACCCCAGGTCTCCCCTACCTCTCCCCAGTCAACACCCCAGGTGACCCCTACCTCTCCCCGGTCAACACCCCAGGTGACCCCTACCTTTCCCCAGTCAACACCCCAGGTCTCCCCTACCTCTCCCCAGTGAACACCCCAGGTCTATCCCCTACCTCTCCCCAGTCAACACCCCAGGTCTATCCCCTACCTCTTTCTCAGTCAACACCCCAGGTCTCCCTACCTCTCCCCAGTCAACACCCCCTGGTCACCCCTACCTCTCCCCAGTCAACACCCCAGGTCTATCCCCTACCTTTCCCCAGTCAACACCCCAGGTCTCCCCTACCTCTCCCCAGTCAACACCCCAGGTCACCCCTACCTCTTCCCAGTCAACACCCCAGGTCACCCCTACCTCTCCCCAGTCAACACCCCAGGTCTATCCCCTACCTTTCCCCAGTCAACACCCCAGGTCTCCCCTACCTTTCCCCAGTCAACACCCCAGGTCACCCCTACCTTTCCCCAGTCAACACCCCAGGTCTCCCCTACCCCTCCCAGTCAACACCCCAGGTCTATCCCTACTCTCTCCCTCGTCAACACCCCAGGTCTCCCCTCCCAGTCAACACCCCAGGTCTCCCCTACCTCTCCCCCATCAACACCCCAGGTCACCCCTACCTCACCCTGGACAACATCCCAGGTCACCCCTACCTCTCCCTAGACAACATCTCAGGTCATCCCTACCTCGCCCTGGACAACATCTCAGGTCATCCCTACCTCGCCCTGGACAACATCCTTGGTCACTCCCTCCCTCACCTGAGACAACAACCCAATTTTCACACCCTATCTCACCCCAGTCAACAAACAGAGTCATCCCGATGTCTCCCCGGAGACACCTCGTGTCACCCCTTGCCCCCTGCCACAACTGATATAATCACATACATCAAGCATTCTCCTGCTACACAACACATACTCCATGTAGATCAGGCAATAATAGACTGCTTCCTTCCATGCTGCAAACTGTTACTGATATAAATAGCTTCATTCATTGAGCAGCTGGTAACCAAATAGAAACATTTACATCTATAAAAATCTAACATATCCCATTCTGGCAATATGACATTAGTAGCACTATTGGTGTTGTATCTCTGCTTCACACTCTAGACAATCACTTCCTCCATAAAGCAATCAGTGCATAGCTGTGGTGCTGTGTAACAATTGCAAAATGTTATAACATCATCATCTCCCAGACTCTGATGTTATTCATTTCCAGTATACAACCAGATATATCATATCTCTATTGAGCTTATGAGGGGTGGTATATACAGAAATATTATCTATTTTCTCACTTCCAAAACAACATCATACATGTATAATACCAACCAGCATGATAGTAGTCAATTCTTGGGCAATTTCTATTTGACTTGACCCTGTGTTTCACATAACTGACAGAGTGGTCTTTATCAATAATATAGAAAGTCCTAGTACACTGTGACACTGGGATGACAGACATGTCACATCACAAAGGCCTTACAGCAAAGCTGTATCTAGGATCCCAAACAACATTGTTTCTCAAATTCAGATGTTTTTACCATAATTGTATTTTTCACTGCAATATTGTAAGACTGTGAAGAAAGACGTATTTGATTATTGGAATCACCTCTAAAGCCAGCACATAAGTCATAACAGGCTTAGATGATTTGGGAAATAATCAAGTAGAGACATTTCACTGACATTTACTGCAGACTTGGTGCCAAATAGGCCTTTGAGCAGATCTAGATCAAACCATGAATATAAGGCAAACATTAACAATCTGGTCATATACAGCTAGGGAGTAATGGAAAATATGTCATCAAAACAGTCAATATTGTTTGAAAATGTTGCGAAAGATATGAACATATAGTATAGAGCATCCTCCACAGTTTGTCTGTAAACAGAAACATTTTACAACATCTACTGCAGATAACATGAGGAAGAGTCAAATGTATTCATGATACGGTCCCCACATGAACTGTACATCTGTCTAGTAGCCAACAAGATCAAACGATTCAAACAATTTTGCCACACAGGTAAATCAGCTGGTGAATACCTCTGAGATGACTCATATATGGCATACATCATCCAGCTGAGATAAGCCCTCACTTTCATACAGCAGTCACTGCATGTACAGATATGGCTGACCACAGGGAAAATACGGGCTTCTGTTTCTGCTATATAGCATTACCTCCACTTGACACATGGTGAGAATACTTCAGATTCTGTGTTTCACTAAGTGTGTGTTTTACAGGGAGGACATAGACACAACTGTGCATGGGAGTGGATTTGGTTGTGAACAGCAATCAGTTCTATCACAGCTTTACCTGGACAGCGTATTGTCAAGGACAGGCCAACCTGTGGTTGATAGTGTAAGCAAACCCAGACACCCAATCCAGCATGTCAGCCATTGTAGCCAACTGGAATAACTTACTGGTAATAGAACATATGTATGCTGTTCTTCCTAGGCAACACACATGAATGATTTGTGAAGTCAAGGAGGCTGTTTGTCCCTTCTCCCTGTATGGCCTAGAGTGAGATCATCAATGTCAAGAAAAATATAATTTGGTGAATCCTTAAAGTTGTTTTTATTCATCCAAACAAAGACTGGATTCTATTATCTGAACCACTCCAGGTCAAGTCAAGCCACCTTGTCAGTCCACAAGTATAGACTGAACTATATGACACACTACAATGTAGCGTGAGGTGTTCAACCTAATGATAATGTAAAAGTATGGCAGCAAATAGTCTTCACAAAAGAAATCACTCGTCATTAAAGTACAATGCAATTTTTCACTGACATGTCAAAATTCAAAAAGACATGCTCCACATCAACAATGCTGAGTGTCTTAGAATATTAATTAATATTAAATACTCATCCCATGTGAAAATGCTACAACTTATGCATTAGCCAGTGGGAGAGAGAGGAAAAAATGGTTTGTACAATATCCCCATTACATGACTGTCATGTATGCTGGAGCCATTCCAGTTGTCTGAGTCACTGTTTTCAACAAAAGATGGGGATTTGTCTGAAAAATTGAGAGAAAAATGTACTTACCGTGTATGCACCATATTGGAATATCCTGTGAGATAATCATCAATCAAGGCATCTCTCCTGCTTGGCGTTACATCCATATTGGCCTTCTGTCATTAAAACTCACGACCAGTGAGTCGAGTCAGAGAAATCCCCTAAATGCAAGCTACCTTACCGAACCCTTTATGGGGTCCCATTGTGAGATACACAAAATAGACTACACTCAAATGTTTTCATGAATAAGACATACACTTCAATAATAATTAGTTGTGAAGAAGAAATGCCCCATAGCTGTGTTTTAGAGGATTTTTCCAATGCTCATACAGTAGCTGAAGATTTTCTCATATTACAGCTCCCACGGAACTGAAACTTCAAGTGATGTCTTCCGAGGCACTTCAATAATTAATCAGTAATCCAATTAGCACAGCCACTTGCAAAGGCTCATGGTATAGATTAATCCCAGAGTTTAGGGTGACCTTGATTCAAGGTGATTCACTGGAATGTCAGCATTGTTTGCTTCTCGTTCATCTCCCCCATGTTGACATTGATCACATGTCTGTACATTCAACTAAAAACGTATCATTGTAGGAGGGAGGGAAGTTGTTTGTTTGAAAGGTAAATGTTTTCTTGATCCCTGCCAGTGCATCAAAGGTTTGACAGTGGGAGGCCCAGAAATCACAAAAGGAGAATAATTTTAGAAAAGCTTTAAAGCTTGATTACTGTCATGCTTATTGACATTGTTCATGATGTATTTGCAAACAATTGTTCATCAAGTATCTTCTTCAACTCAAACAGTTTTCTAAATGACAACCTTTGAATTCAGTTTACATTTTCAGTAAATATGATATTTGATAATCTTTTATAAAAATGAATTGTTAATTTTTATGTTTCTGAGAAGACATATAAAAAAGTTGAATTATTCATTTGAAACCTGACCCTCCATGCTATAACATTAGCCAGGAATTAACTATTTATACTGACATTTCAGGCAGAGCATCTCCTCATTTATAAACGACACATGAATTAGACCCATGATGAAGGCACAGATAACATTTCTCTCATAAAGATGAGATTCCATCAGTCTAAGGTGTGACCTCATCCAGATACAGATGAACCATATTCATCTCCTTTGTTCACACAGAGTGACTATAACAGTAAAACTAGGAAAGAGGGATGATAAACTTTATTCTTTTCAAATTAAGTTTCATTTCCTGATTGACGAAATGTCTGTTTACAGCACCATAGCACTGTGGCATACTGTGGAGAGACAAGAGGTCCTCAACAGCAGGCAGTTGGCTGACCATAGACTCACAGCAATACAAACAGGCCAATACTCAAATATACAAGAAATAACATGTGATTTTATCCAAAGAGAATAAGTATAAAAGAAGACATGATTAAGGATGTACATTAAGTACAGGTTAAACAGTTGGTATGTGTGAGGACAACACGTTCCATGCTTACATGCTGCTGCACTGGAACCAAACACACAACACGGCATGTAGTTTAGCAGGCATCATGTGACCAGGTATTCTCTGTACCTGACACAGTTGGCTACTTTGAAGTAATCAAGTTCTTTAACTGTTAGGGCAGAAACTCCAATAGCCATCCATACAGACATGATGTGAACTTTCAGGGATGATGACATTCCTTGCTTCACTGCTGTGTGGGCAGCTGAGGTGTATAGTAAGGACAATAGTGACAGAACAAGGTATATCACAAAACACAATATACATGTCAGCTGACATAGCATGCACTTACTGATTACCACAATTTCATAAACAAAACATGGTTGATGTAGGACAAAACTTACATTTTTAAAATGCCACTTTATTGCTGCCACATTGAAAATGGACATGAATTCTTAATGTATTTACAGACACCATTGCTTGTATCATCCACACAAACTTTCATCCTCACCATCCTCTTTGATTCAGAGAAGATTGTAGTAAAACTGGACAACTGAACCAGGGCAAGTTCACAAGGCTCAACAGGACAGAAAGATCACAATCAGCTACAAATGTGCAGGTGAGCTTGCTTTTAAATGGAAAGCTTAAAGTTAAGAAGGCCCCATACAGCCACAGGCCAAAGTAGTGTTTCAATAGATGTAGATGTAGATGTATGCCACGGGGATAGGAGACAGGCAGTCAGGTGAATGATCTAAGGAAAATACCAGATAACTTTCACAGGAACATGATGCTACCTCGCTTCTTCAGAACCCTCATTTATCTCAAAACTACCATTGGGAGACCTTGAAATCCTGAAGCCCTGAAAAGACAATAATTGCACTTTTGTCCATCATTATCAAGCTTTGTAAAAGCATTGGATTACAAGCGCCATTGTGGTAGAAAAAGTACTCTCCAGCATGCCAGAGGCGATGTTATGAGCATATCCCGATGTGCGCTAGGGAACACCATCTCACTTCACCATCAATACACCCATGCATGTAGACAACCTGAGGTGACACGCCATCACCTCACCTTTAATACTGCAGAGATTCTGTCATTTCAATTTTCAATAACAAAATTACAAATACTATTGTAGTTTTTACTAAAAGTTCATTATCCATTGCAAATTCTTTAAACCTGACTAATATTAATTGTAAGGTTGATCATAGAAAATATTACTATGTTGTGGAGGCGAAATAAAGCCAGACACAGTGTATATTGATAGACACCTCTAGTGAGCCAGACACAGTGTATATTGATAGACACCTCTAGTGAGCCAGACACAGTGTATATTGATAGACACATCTAGTGAGCCAGACACTATGTATATTGATAGACACCTCCAGTGAGCCAGACACAGTGTATATTGATAGACACCTCTAGTGAGCCAGACACAGTGTATATTGATAGACACATCTAGTGAGCCAGACACTATGTATATTGATAGACACCTCCAGTGAGCCAGACACAGTGTATACTGATAGACACCTCTAGTGAGCCAGACACAGTGTATATTGATAAAGAACATCTAGTGAGCCAGACACAGTGTATATTGATAGACACATCTAGTGAGCCAGACAGTGTATATTGATAGACACCTCTAGTGAGACAGACACAGTGTATATTGATAGACACATCTAGTGAGCCAGTCACAGTGTATATTGATAAACACCTCTAGTGAGCCAGACACAGTGTATATTGATAGACACCTCTAGTGAGCCAGACACAGTGTATATTGATAGACACCTCTAGTGAGCCAGACACAGTGTATATTGATAGACACCTCTAGTGAGCCAGACACAGTGTATATTGATAGACACCTCTAGTGAGACAGACACAGTGTATATTGATAGACACCTCTAGTGAGCCAGACACAGTGTATATTGATAGACACCTCTAGTGAGCCAGACACAGTGTATATTGATAGACACCTCTAGTGAGCCAGACACAGTGTATATTGATAAACACCTCTAGTGAGCCAGACACAGTGTATATTGATAGACACCTCTAGTGAGCCAGACACAGTGTATATTGATAGACACATCTAGTGAGCCAGACACAGTGTATATTGATAAACACCTCTAGTGAGCCAGACACAGTGTATATTGATAAACACCTCTAGTGAGCCAGACACAGTGTATATTGACAAACACCTCTAGTGAGCCAGACACAGTGTATATTGATAGACACCTCTAGTGAGCCAGACACAGTGTATATTGATAAACACCTCTAGTGAGCCAGACACAGTGTATATTGATAGACACCTCTAGTGAGCCAGACACATTGTATATTGATAGACACCTCTAGTGAGCCAGACACAGTGTATATTGATAGACACCTCTAGTGAGCCAGACACATTGTATATTGATAAACACCTCTAGTGAGCCAGACACTATGTATATTGATAGACACATCTAGTGAGCCAGACACAGTGTATATTGATAGACACCTCTAGTGAGACAGACACAGTGTATATTCATAGACACCTCTAGTGAGACAGACACAGTGTATATTGATAGACACCTCTAGTGAGCCAGACACAGTGTATATTGATAAACACCTCTAGTGAGCCAGACACAGTGTATATTGATAGACACCTCTAGTGAGCCAGACACAGTGTATATTGATAAACACCTCTAGTGAGCCAGACACAGTGTACAGAGACCCAGATAAGCTACGTATCCGGGTAAAATACGCATTGAAAATTCCCATTTACGCGTTGAAAATTAATTGTTGCGTACCAATTACGCATTTAAAATGTTAGATAATGTATAAAGAAATTAAAACAAATGCGTGCTGGGATATATTTATAAAATAGAAACTTGCGTAATGAAAATGACATCGATTGCTATCAAGTTGTACTGTTAGTATAGGGCAAGTGTTGTACTGTCAGTATAGGATGAGTGATTTCCATTATAATTAAGTTGGTTTTGATTAGGTATGACATAAGGCAGAACATACCTGCTTAGTAAACTTACTCAATGACGTAATACTTAGGTGAGTAAAGTGACTGAAATACGCACATATTTGAAAGCAGTGGGTAACGGAAATTGAAATACCCACTCAACATTCATAATACCCACTCCAAAATAATACAGTGGGTACAGTACCCACATGAGCTAAATCTTATCTGGAGCTCTGAGTGTATATTGATAGACACCTCTAGTGAGCCAGACACATTGTATATTGATAGACACCTCTAGTGAGCCAGACACAGTGTATATTGATAGACACCTCTAGTGAGCCAGACACAGTGTATATTGATAGACACCTCTAGTGAGCCAGACACAGTGTATATTGATAAACACCTCTAGTGAGCCAGACACAGTGTATATTGATAGACACATCTAGTGAGCCAGACACAGTGTATATTGATAGACACCTCTAGTGAGCCAGACACAGTGTATATTGATAGACATCTCTAGTGAGCCAGACACAGTGTATATTGATAGACACCTCTAGTGAGCCAGACACAGTGTATATTGATAGACACCTCTAGTGAGCCAGACACAGTGTATATTGATAAACACCTCTAGTGAGCCAGACACAGTGTATATTGATAGACACCTCTAGTGAGCCAGACACAGTGTATATTGATAGACACATCTAGTGAGCCAGACATAGTGTATATTGATAAACACCTCTAGTGAGCCAGACACAGTGTATAT